AGAGAGATAAGATGTATCAAAAAAGTCCATCAATCAGTACATATTAAAACTCACCCACCCACAGAATATATTAACTGAAAGATTAGTGATTACTCATATCCTACTAGTGATTACTCATATCAGATCTTTAGTCATGTTATACATACCGAGTGTGTAAAGACATTTTCTACCAAAGGACAGGTGATGCTTTTTCTTGTTTTTTTAATCTAGGAGCACAGACTCACTGTTGTGTCATTTTATATATATAATTTACATATACGAAAAGATGAATCAGAGCTGCAAATAATGCTAGCATTAAATCAAAGAGAATTTGGGTTGTGCAAGGACAGCAGTCTCAGACTGTATTGGCACAAAATTTAAGCTCCAAATTTCACCCACTTTGAAATGGTTATATTGGAATTATAAAATTTATGAGAACTTTCAAACTTCAGAAACATTTACAAACATTATCTGAAGAATTCTGTTGGGGAATCTAAATTCTAAAAATCCCCTCTTAAAATATCCACCTTTCCCTCTAAAGTATTTAATGTAATCATAACTGTTAGACAGCAAGACGATATGCTTTCTGCTTGTGTCCCTTCTAGAGCTGGAATTCACTATTCAAACCCAGTTTCCAAAACTGTATTGACATTGAAGCTCTTGCACAAAGAAGAACATATACAAAAAGCCACAGCAATTTTAAGTTCAAGTAGAAAAACAGTAGGGAAATTAATGGAAAAAACTGAGGAAGAGAACATACTCAAGAAAAGATCTATAAGGGAAGAAATTCTATTTTAAGCTTCTAAGACAGTATATACATTGGAGATTAAACACAAAGTGTAAAGCTTAAAAATATATTTGGCATCCCAATATCTTATACTGTTTTTTATTCCACGAGCAATGTCTTCAAAAGTGCCTAAGGGACAGGCTCTTTTGTAAATTTTACCCATATTGCATACGTATGACACACCCATGCCGGAAATGCAGTTTCCTCTGAGGTAGAAGGTGACAGCAGTTTAGAAGCACACAGCAATGTCTTAACAGTCTCAGTCAAAGTGAATAAAAATTTCATATGCCGCATTTGGGGGACATAGGTAGATGTAATGAAGTTAGAGATGGAACACAGCCATAACATCAGGATTAACCTCCCAACCTTTGTGAAAAAAATGCCATGTGGGCTTCAATGGCCAATGACAAGTGATCAGGAACATCTTAACGCTCAGCTGAAAGACAGCTGTGCTATATAAATTTACAGTTTCTTCTCTCCTCCTAATCCCATCTCCCAAGCAGTGGGACCAGAAAAAGAGGCACTCAAGGTTTGACCCCTCCCCAATCTACAGAGTGGAGCCCTGCAAACTAGTTAGCTGGACTATGGAACTATCGGGTATGTGGTAGAAGATGGCTTAATGAATTCAACATCAATTGTCAATGACTACTCACCAATTTATCTTCAGTCACATACCACGTGCTGCAACTAGACCTTAGCTACATTCCAGATATACAGAATTATGATGACTTGTAGCAGATGTTTTCCTTTGGGCTAAACATCACTGTACTTAATTTTTAATTACTTACAAATAACCTTAGGGGTGCTGCAGTCAGGATGTGCCCATGCACTCTTGATTGGAGATTTTTGTCAGAAGTGTGGGTCTGCACTTGTGTCCTACACACCCTCGTGCTCTGGTACAAGGGTATATAGGGCAGGCTTGCTGCTGTTTCTCCAGGTCCTTCTCAACCACAAAGTCCAGAGAGTATGACTCTGAAGCTGAAGGGAAGAAGGGCCCAAAGGGGAATGGAGAACCCATAGGAACAAAACATCTAGAAGAACTCCAGTTACTGTGCAAGGTAATTACTGTGCAAGGTAACCTCTCCTCCCTATGAGTGCTCCACATCAGAAGATTCACAAGCGGTACCCCAATTATGGAGGAGGATGCTGAGGAGGTAGATTCAGTATGCACTGTAGAATAGCATCACCGAAGGCCATGTCAACTCTAGAAGCATGGACAATAGTAAAATGCTGGGGAAAATGCCCTTACAAATGTCTGAGATGGATATGTACTTCAATAAGACCACAGAGATACACCAAGCCTTAGTGGAATGGGCAATCACCCTCCGTGAAAGAGGCACCTCCAAGGCTTCAAAACAGGTCAAGATGTCACCCATTTCAACAATCTCTGGGTGGATACTGGGTACCCTTTCATTCTTTCTGTGAAGGAAACAGACTGCGAGAAGCCCTGAAGGACTTAGTTATATTGAGGTAAAAGATGAGATTGCTTCTTATACCCTGTGTGTGGAGATTCTCGAGTAATGGAGCTTGGAGTAAGACATCGTTAGATCAGTGTCCTGATTAATGTGAAATTCTGATGAAACTTTAGGTAGAAAGCAAGGGCGGGGATGCAATATCACTGTTTTGTGATAGAACACTATGTTCAGTGGATCAGCCATAAGAGCTTCTAGTTCTCCTATCCTTCTGTATGAGGTACAAAGTCTTAAAGGACAAATGAAGATGAGAACAGCTCCCCATAGGTTCAAATAGGACTTTTCTCAGGGCATTGAGAGCTAGTTAAGGTCCCATGGTGGAGTAGGTTCTTTAATAGGAGGTAAAAGGTTAAACAGACCCTTAATGAATCTTGCAATGCTCAGATGAGCAAAGACTAAAACCCCTGAACCGAGGGGTGAAAGGTTGTAATGGAAGCAAAGATGAACCTTGACTGAGCTAAACGATAAACCTGTAGTTTGTAGCAGGTAATTGAGAATGTGAGAGAGGAGAGAGTCGAGAGGAGATATAGATTGTTGTGTATGCCAGGCTTACAAACGTTTCCACTTCTGCAGGTAAGTTTTCCTTGTGGCAGGTTTTCTACTCTTGGGTCTCTGGAGGGCAGTCTTGTTCTACATCAGAAAGCCATCTAGGGGCCAGGCCTTGATGTGGAACCATGAGAGGTGGGGGTGGGTCATGGTGCCCAATTCCTGGGTGAGGCAGTCTGCTGTCAGAGGAAGGTGAAGAGGTGATGGCAGGGACAGGCAAACTAAAATTGGGAACTCTCTCTGTCTTGGCCATGACGGTGCTATGAAGATGGCTACCAATCTCTCATTTCAAGTATTCAAGACCTTAAGGAGCAACAGCTTTGGGGGACAAGCAAAGAGCAAGACCAAGAACAGAGGCCAAGGGTAAGGAGGGCATCTCCCAAGAAGCTGGGACTATGCCCTCTCAAGCAGAAGCATCTGCATCGGACAATGTCACAAAAAGATCTACATCCGGGGAACCCCAAATGAGAGAAATAACCTCTGAGGTATTGACAGCCACTAGGACAGTGTGTACTTGTTGAGGGACGTAGGCAGACCAGAGCCAAGCTGGAATACATCAGGAGTGTAGTCTTGCCAGGGATGTTACACATTTACTGGCTGCCACATGACCCAGGAGTTGGAGAACTCCTTGCTGTGGTTTGTAGCTCTGTTGTAGCATGGTACTGAGGCTGGACATCATAGCAAACCTATTCGTGGGCAGGCATGGCTTGATTATAATGGAGTCCAAAGTGACTCTGATGAAGTCTATTTGTTGTACAGGTCTAAATATAGACTATTCCAAGTAGAGGTGGAAGCTGGAGAAGTGAAAGAGGGATAAGACCTTGTTGGTTGCTGATGGCACCCTGAGAAAGGAGCAACCCTTGAGAAGTCAGTCATCCAGGCAGGGAAAGACTATTATTCCCATCTAATGAAGATGGGCTGGCGATAGCTGAGAGAACCTTTGTAAAGATCCTTTGCACAGTCAAAAGTCGAAGGACAGGATCCAGTACTAGCAGTGGTCCTTGCCCATGACAAATCGTGGGAAATATTTGTGGGAAGAGTGCATAGCTATATGGACGTATGTGTCCCGGAGGTCAAGGAAGACAAACCAATTTCCCAGCTCCAAAGAAGAAATTATCACGGGTAAGGTTACCATTCTGAACCACTGTGAGAGGACGAAGTCCGGAGGTCCAGATTTGGTCGTCTTTCTCCTCTTTTCTTGGGAACCAGGAAGCACCTAGAGAAGAACCTTTTCTCAGGACTTTCTCAAGGAAGTCCAGTGGAATGGGTTAGATCGCCCCTAGGAATAGGAGAGATTGTACCTCTTGTCTTAAAAGACCCTCGTGAGAAGGATCCCTAGGACAGGGATGGATGGAACTGAACTGGATGGAATAGCATGCTGAAACCATCTCCAGGATCCACCTGTCCAAGGTGATCAACTCTCAGGCAGACAGGAAATGGGAGAGATGATCCCCAACAGGCTGGTGACAGGCTTGGTGTAGAGTATGATCCGAGGATTGCTTGTGACCCTTGACCAGTGGATCACAAAAGCTGTTCAGAAGAAGTTGCTGATTCTCATGGCACTAGAGAAGACAGCCCTTTCTTAGAAAAACTAGGTTTCTTTCTGGGTGGTTCAGCTGATCTTGTAGTTTGAAAGTAAATTGGGCAAGACCACTATCTGTGATATGCTGTATTTTTTTTTGGTCATATGCGTGTAGATGCTGAGGGATTGCAAGGTCTCCCTGGCACTCTATACCATGGCCTGAGGAAGATGGTACAGAGGATGACGACTTTGGGACCATGGTCTTGGAGGAGTCCTTGTGTTTAGAAGGCTCTGATTCTGCTACCGACAATGGTGCCGCTCGAGATTGCTTTCTGGGAAGCTTCTCAGCACACAGTCTGCTGAAGATTTTTTTTTTTTTTTTTTTTTTAAAGGTGACTAGGACCTTTATACAGGGGAAGAAAAAGCCTCAGTGGTACCCATACCAACATGTGAGATCTCCTTATTCCCAGATCAAGAGGGTGACTTTATCCTTTTCAGAGTCTCTCTTTCTGGAGAGTGGGGTCTCTTCATTTTAGATAATCTTGAAGACTCT